TATCTATCTATCTATCTATCTATCTATCTATCTATCTATCTATCTATTTACAACAACAGCTCCCTTCATGGGTCCAGCTGAGCTCTGCAGCTGCACAGTGGGACTGTGTTAGATGGGGAGATCTGATTGACAGCTCCAGCAGCCAATCGGCTGCCTCCTCCTCCTGGAAAACACACACACAAACACACATACACCCACACACACACACACAGACACACACAGGTTTGGCCTCTGCTGGGTTTGTCTGGGATTCAAGGTTTTTCTCGCCTCCTTTTACCTCTGAGGAGGATCTTCTTGCAGCTTTCAGGGTTTTTCTGCTTATTCTCTGGTTTTCAGTCCAGTTTTAGTGTTTTTTCTTTGTTCAGACTCTGAACTCTGAGTTGTTCAGGCAGAAAAAGGCCCCTAACTCAAGGGATGAGCCAGTGTTGTGTCCAATCGGCAGAGGATGAGAAGGATAAATAAACGTTTTTCAATAATTTATTTCAAATAATTTCCATAGTTCTGATTTTATTTGTGATGAGTAAAATATGGATTGGGTCTATTGTTTGTTGTTCAATTTATAATTCAACCGTATCTTTTTTAATCCACGTATTCCCTTTTTCTTTCGTCTTTATTAAATGTGTATCTTATTTTGCATGTTTTGGAGGATTGTCCTGGGACTTTTGTGAATGTTTACGGTCTACTGAACACAGTGATGCGCATGCGTGTGCGTGTGCGCGGCAGCAGCTGAGTCGTGTGGGGCGGGGACTTTGGGGGGTGGGGTGATGATGAGAGGGGGGGGGGGGTTCACGAGCTGAGCTCCCAGCTGCTCCCATTCAGCCGCTGTGGCTCCCGGTAAGCGGACCGTGCGCGCACCCTGTCCGAGAGGAACGGAACTCACGGGAGCGCGCGTCGTGCGGGAGATGGGACTCAGTCGGGTTAGGGTTAGGGTGAGGGGCTGAGAGTCCGCTGCCAGCCTCCGATAGGAAGCTGCAGAGGACCCGGGTCCGGTCTGAAGTTTGGTGGAGCCGCCGCTCTGCGCATCTTCCCGCAAACGGCGCACCATCTGCGGCGGAATCTGCGGGTCTGTGCGTGTTTCTGCGGGTTTCTGCGCCTCTGTAGCGTTTCGGGACAAACAGGTGAGCCGCTCACGGCCGGATTTCGCTTTGAGTGTCAGATTTGAAGGGTTTAAATCATGACTTGAAACCTTCTTTCCTCTCAGTTTAAAAATGAGCCTGATTGGCTTCTCTTTAGTGAACTTGTTCTCCAACACTTTAAGTATATTTTACTCTTTTTCTGTAATAATGTGGCATCATAGAGCTCGTTTACATGAACTTTTTGGGAGGAAAAAGGCAGAAATGGAACCATCCGTGTCATTTGCGTGCAATTCAATGAATGACAAACAAAGTTACAACATCCAATTAGGCTGAATAATGTCAGGACTCAGCATTCACGAAACCTGAGCTGTTCACAGCTGCTGAGACTCTGCCTGTTGGTTAAGCCTCATCAGGACCTGGTGGAAAAGGTCCAGAAACCAGCTCTTGTGACATACATTCACCCTAAACTAGTGCAAAACATCCAGAAACCAGCTCTAAAACTGGATTTCGGTCCATTAATTCACTCTAAACTGGTGAAAAACATCCAGAAACCAGC